CACACGTTTCCATGACGTTTCCATTTTTTTTTTTTCTAAATTTTGTTTTCGCGTTTTCTAACATTTCGCTTCCGCGTATCCGTTTCTGATTGCTTAGTCGTATAACTTATTCAGAAGTTTCAACCTTGTGGAAAATAAAAAAAAAGAGTTTCGACATCGGAAAAATACAACATCATTGCGAATAGAATAGCAAAAACAATCTCTCTTATTATTCTTCTTCGATATTTGGATGAGTTTTTATTACCGAATTGGTTGAAATATTGTATTGAAACTGATAAACATAATGATGTAGTATATATATGAATAAATGGATGTTGACGCAAAAAATATCAATTTTCAAAGAGATTCAAAAATTAAACTAAAATCGGCAGTTTGATCAATTATAATACATTGGGGGATAGAAAACCATAGAAATAATGATAATATCTGTATTTTAATTCTTTTATTTTTAATAATGATTTTGTCTGTATTTGAAATTCCAAAAAAGGAAAAAAAACTTTAATGGATAAAATCGGAGTAGAAAAATGATTTTGATTGGCTAAAAGAATCATGAATAATACACGTGAGTAACCCAGCCTCCTTATATACGTACGAAGCCTCTAACTTGTCTCTTTGAAAAAAAAAACAAACCATTTTCTCTCTCTCACTTCTCTTTGTAGCTCTTACAGTTTGTAGTACCAGAAATCAAGATCTGTCGGTTATGATGGTGGTGGAGGAAGAAACAAGCATAGAAGAAGGGCTTCTACAGCCAAAGGATCAAAACGTCACATCATACAGTCGTATTACTGCATCTGTTCTCTGCAGCACTTTCGTCGCCGTCTGTGGCTCCTTCTCCTTTGGTGTTGCGGTCAGTTTACTTTTCCAAAATCCATCCTACTAATTTGCTCTGTTTTTTTTTTGTTTTTAAGAGATTTTATATAATAAAAAATCTTAAGTTTCTTATAGTTTTGTCAAAAACTGTTTTATTTTTATTTTTTTTGCAGACCGGTTATACTTCAGGTGCTGAGATAGGAATTATGAAGGACTTGGATCTTTCTATCGCACAAGTATGTCTGTCTCTCTTTCATTTCTTTTTCTATTTCACAAAACATTACTCTTCTTAACTAGAGAGTAAAATTATCATCATACTTGGTTAATCTCAGTTGGTTACTTTTAGAGGATAGAATTTGAAAGGTCTCAAATTCAAGTACCAAATATATGGGAAACAAGTTGAAACTGTCCAATTTAACCTGTTCTAGTTTTTTGCATGAAAGAACCTAACAGCCTCAACATTATTTGGTTAATAAAAAATTATTAATCAGAGAGCAAGAGAGCATGCAGTGTGTGACACATTAACAGTAGATTCTTACA